CCAACTTGGACCACAGTCAGAGAAGAATGGTCAAGGTCACATGTTATCTCAAGAATGGCTACAGGCCTGGAAAAAGAAGACTCAATGGCAATCTTGAGACATCTGAAGAGTTCTCTGCCATGTAGAAGAGGGACGTATTCTTACTCAGCGTCACTCTAGAGGGCAGAACTAGGAGCAGTGGGAAGAAGTGACAAGGAATATATATTGGACTAAAATAAGAAATTTCTAATTCAAAAGTGGAATGGGAAAACTGCCCTATAGCATTAGATATATGATCCCATTTTAGTTTGAAATTGTGCACAAAGGTCTTTGAGCAGTGGAGGGACAAGATTGCTTCTTTAGAAAGACAGTACGGGCAAGAAGGTATGTGAGGACAGGAGGCAAGGATGGCCAGTTAATAGACCACTGAAATAATCCAGGCAAAATATGACGAGAAGCTAAGCTGGAGTACTAGCAGGGGGCATTCACCCAGCTACCCATGGATGGATGAACGGGTCAACAAAATGAAGGCATATGCACACAGTGGAATATCATTCAGCCTTGAAAAGGAAATGTTGACATGTGCTATAGCATGGATGACCCTGAAGTCATTCTAGGTCAAATAAAATCAGTTACCAGAGAACATAAATGGTATGATTCCACTTATAAGAGCTACTCGGAGTAATAAAATTCAGAGACAGAAAGTAGAATAGTCATTTCTGGGGGCTGGAAAAAGGGGAAAATAAGGAGTTGGTATTTAATGGGTATGGTGTTCCAGTTTAGGAAGATGAAAAAGTTCTGGACATGGAGGTAGGGATGGCTGCCTAACAATGTGAGTGTACTTAATGCCACTGAGCTGTACATTTAAAAATGTCAAAATGATAAGCCTTAAGTTATATATCTTCTAACACAATTTTTAAAATACACTATTCTGAATCTTTTAAAAAGAGAGAAATTTCAGAAAGGGGGTAAAGGTATAGAGGAGGAACAAAAGGTGGTTGTCAAGCTGTCTGGCTTAGCTGACTAAGTAGAGGATGAGGCCATTAGTCAAGAAGAGATCATTAACCAGAGAGAGACAGACTTGGGAGGAGACAGGAGCTCAGTTTCTGAGATACGAAGTTTGGCCTGAGAACATTCAGTTGGAGATTTTTAAAATAACTTTATTGAGTTGTACATAATAAATTGCACTTATTTAAAGTACAATTCAGAGTTTTGACAGATGCATACACCCATGTATCTGTCACAATAACGATACTGAACATTTCTATCGTCCTGAAAGTTCTCTTGTCCCCCTCACCCTTTTCCAGCCCTGCCCTGGACAATGACTGATTTGCTTTCTGCCACTTAGAGATTAGTTTGCACTTTCTAAAGTTTTTCTATAAATGGAATAATACAGTATGTAGTTTTTGTTTCTGACTTATTCCACTCAGCATAATGATGTTGAGAACCATCCAGGTTGTTGTGTGTATTACTAGTTCACTCCTTTTTCTTACTGACCGATAAACTGTGGATGCACCACAGCTTGTTTCTCCATTTACTTGTTGGGCATTTGGTTTTTCTAGTTTTTTACTATTACAAGTAAAGCCACTGTGAACATTCCTGTAAAGCCTTTGTGTGGACATCTATTTCTATGTCTTTTGGGTAAATACTTAGGAGTAGAATGACTAGGTTGAATGGTAGGGGTATGTTTAACTTTTTAAGAAGCTGTTTGTTTTCCAAAGTGGCTGCACTGTTTTACATTCCTGCCAGCAGTCATTCCACCTCAGCAACACTTGGTATTGTCAACTTTTTAACTCTAGCTATTCTAATTGGTATGTAGCACTATCTCATTATGGTTTTAAATTACATTTTTCTGATGGCTAATGATGTTGAATATCTTTTTATGTGCTTCTCAGTCACTCATGTAACTTATTTTTAAAATGTCTGTTCAAATTTTTCCCCAATTAAAAAAATTGCATTGATGTCTTCTTATTGAGCTGTAATAGTCCTTTATATATTCTGGACAGCAGCCCTCCATCAGATATACATATTGTAAATATTCTCCCATTCTGTGCCTTACCTTTTTATTTTCTTAACAGTGTCAGAATTTCTAAGAACAAATTTTTATAAAGTTCAGTTTATCAGTTTTCTCTTTTTTGAAAGTTTGTTTTTGTGTCCTATATAAAACACCTTTGCCTCCTTCAGTAGTAAATCTATTTTTCTCCTCTATTTAACCCTAGGAGTTTTCAAGTTTTAGGTTTTACATTAGTTAATTTTTGTGTAATGTGTGAAGTAAGGATTGGTGTTCAGTTTTTTCCTCATACAGCTATGTAGTTGTCAGCAAAGTTTGTTGAAAATATTTTCCTTTCCCTGGCTGAAATGTCTTATTACCGTTGTCGCAAACCAGTTGACCATATATGTGCGAATCTATTTCTGGATTCTCTATTCTGTTGCAGGTGGAAGTATCTAATGAAATGTTTAAATATGGAATTAGAGCTACTTTTTTTTGAAGAATATTAGTAGTATGTTTTTTCCCAACCCCCGGAGAAAAACATCTTTTTCTGGAAAGTCTACCTACCACCATCAAGTTTGTTCGTCAGTTCTTGATTGGAATACATGTCTTGTGGGCTAGAATTAGAGCCAAGTTCTACAATTACAGGCAAAGGAAAATCCAAAAACTTAGGTTTAAACTTGGTCAAATTCACAACGGCACAAAGTATTTTGGGGACCTAACTGATTGCAATCCTAAACTTATCCATGTATTATTTCTGTGGGAAAATTTACAGGTTAAAGAACTAAACATGTCTGGAAGACAGCTTAAAGATCTGGGAACTTCCTCTGCAAAGACAATCAGGGATTTGGACGTCAGTAAACTACCCAGCTTTTTCTTATTCCTATTCATGCCACGAAAAGTGATCTTCCAGGGCAGCGGGTCGCTGGCCTTGTTTCCCTGGCACTGGTGTGGATGTGTGGGCCTCCCTCTCTCTGGAGTCCAAGAAAAGCAGATGCTCTACAGGACTGGATTCAACCATCATCTGAGATCAGGCTCATCCCACCTCACAGAGGTTCAAGAAATACTTTTTGTTCCCATGAAAGTTCTCTTTCTCACTTCCCTCCATTTATTTAGGTGTAATGGCCTGAGTAAACAAAGAAACCAGTTGCATTGATTACAAAAACAGAGTATAAAATAACCACTGCAGCAATTTTGAAGACATAATAGTACAAGAGACTAACTATAAAGTTCAATTTCAATGGATCATTTCAAGAAGAAGAATATGTTGAAGAGCATGAATTCAGAAGCGTGGGACCCAGGGGACCCAGGATATCTGGTTGTGTTCTGATTTTGGCAAACATCTTGGAAATGTTAACCTCTCTCCCATATCTAATGAGAGCTACTCATGCTGTTAGCAGAAATACATAACAGCTACTTAACTATGCTTATTTAATAACAAGTCAATTTAAAAGAATATTCTAGACAAATCCTTCTCCATTTACACAGGCAGCGTTTTTTGCTTTCACACTTTGAATTTTGACCTTTCACCAGAACAACTGCATCTTCTTAGTAAGAAAAAAATCAGTCAGCTCAGGGGTCAATTTTATATCCTTCAACAGATTTTTTAAAGTGCCTGGAAAAATTCAAGTTACAGGGTTTGGAACTGTTGAATTAATGATCCTGAAAGAAGAGTGTCAAATCCATCACATACTCAGCCTGCTCCCTAAACTCAAAAATGTATTTAGACTCTGAGGCAGTATACAGTAAGGAAAAAGACTTTTTTCCCAATATTGGTGTTTTTGAATGCTTGTGAATATTTGCAATTGAATGTTCATGTTTAACTTTTTGTCTAATTACTTGAATTCAGATCTTCTTCTAGGCCTTTATCATTGTATGTATATACATATATGTATGTGTGTATAAACTGTATGTGTATTATTATTTATGTGGAGGATGGCATAAGATGTCTTTAAGTTTTCCATGAGTGCAAAAGTTGTTAGCTGCCTGGAATCACGTCGAACCCTTGGGAGCATTCTGAGCACAATCTATTCACTATTAGCTCTTGATTTCCTACTTTGGATATTTTGGGTCTGAAACTTTTTGTAGTTAACCTCCATAGCAGCAGTTCTGATCCATGTCTTCAGAGATGTTGCAATAACTATCCTAGCATCTAAATGGGAAAGTAAAAATAATGCTAGTAGGAATTTGTTTTTGTTTTGTTCAGGGTGATAGTTTCCAGTTTCTTTGCACTTTTATTATTTAAAATTTACCAGCAGCAGGATATAATTACTTCCATTTGGGACACCATTTTAGTATGTAAACATTAAGTTTGTCCTACCGCTTGGTATATTTGATTGGGTCCAAAGGTTACACAACAATTCTGAAACTCTTTATAAAGACCTTGGCAAAATGCTTTCCCCTTCTATTTTAAATCATTATTTTGCAAGGAAATTTAATTAGAAAAAAAAATGTTTTGTTTTTTTTTTACTAAGTACAAACCTCTTCATTGAGCCAATAAAGAATTTGTTTGAAAATAATTCCCAGCTTCTAGAACTAAGAGTATAAGTTTTTTTCCCTTTAATTAGCATCTTTTTTTTTTTTAACCAATGCCAAATGCAATGTGAGCTCAAGTTTTTTAGTTCAGTTCTAAACTTGGAACCCGTGATTTTCAACTGGGTTCTAAATCTGGCAAAATGGGAAATGTTTTCTCCCTGCCATAGTAGCTAGTGTTTTCCCATTCCCATTCTTATTTCATATACCTTATTTTCTGAGTAAGCAGTAGTGTTTTTCTTCACTTTTTAATAATGTTTTCCATTTTCCCTTTATGGAATATCAAATGCAATGCAACCTTTTTTAGACCATAAGATAAAATAGATACGGCAGCTTTTTTAAAGAATGGGGAAAATGGTAAGGCTGGGGGGGAAATCAGCCTCTTTCTTACAATGAAAAGATAAATACCTTATGTCTTAGATACTGAGCTACCACAAAGCTTATATATATATAGGTCAGTAGAAATCACGAGAAATCAGAATTCAATTTAGATACTTACTTTTTCTGCAAATTTCTACTCAAATACAAATGATTCTGTCCCCTTCCTGAGGAACACGTGTGAAAGAACATCCCATTCGGTCACCACGCTGAGACGTGTGTCCAGCAGAGCCACAATCCTACAGTCTGCTCTTTGCCCAGCGTTTAATCTCGCTCCTTGCAGCTGCAGGCACCCAGGCAAAGTGCTAAATGCAAAACTCACTGGGTGCAGAACTCAGCCCCAGCAACCTAGGAGCTCTGGCTTCTGCGGGTACAGGTTATGAGTGTTGTACAGATGTCATAAGTAGTTGAAAACAGCCGCTTCCTCAGTCTGCAAGGTGTTGGAGGGAAGGGTACCTAGAATTCGCCCCAAACAGGCACCTACATGTCTCTCCCTCACTTGCCTTTATCTCTGCCTTCGCCACCGGGCTCAGGTCTCTTGCTGTCATATTCCTTGCATCGTTTTTTCTCCCATTAGAACCAACTTTCCTTTTGGTTGTTCAACACATGAAATGACCCAGGAGGAAAAAGACTCCTGCAAAAGAAAAGGTGGCATGGGGCTGTTTTCCCTCCAGGGACGAACTGTTGGAATCTGACCCCTAAGCTGCACACCTCTGCAGGCAGCTCGTACCTGTTTGAGCAGCTCCCTCTTCTTCCCATGATTCTGCCGTTCAGGCATGTGTGTACGTCACCGAAGCCCAGGAGGAGAGAGCTCACAGTCTCCCCAGCACTTCCCCAGGGGGCTTGGCAAACGGGCGTCCTATCCTGTTCTTTCGGGTCTCTGGTCCTTGCCCCCCTCTTGTTAGGAAGGAAGAACCACCAGGCCTCTTCTCCAAGGTGGGCACCTCTGACAGTCAGACAGCAGCCTTACCAGTCTCGCCCGACAGGTTCCCCTGCTTTATTTCCCCTCGTTTCTGCAATGCCAAGAGCACTAGAATAGTTCAGATTTCCCACTCCAGTCTTACTGAGACTAAGCACTCTTGACTACCAGGCTCCCGGCAGAGGCAGCAGGATTTTCTGGGATAAACGGCTCTTCCATCCTCTGTGTGGCTTCCCCAGGAGCTGTATCCACTCCCTACACTGCAGTGGGAGTAGATTCCATTGGCCTCAGCACCGGCTGGGATAGCCAACCCTGAAGGGAATGTGGCAGAGTGAACCAGTGCATGCCCTGGCACTAGATAGTGTGGACTATTCAAGGCCAAGAAATAGGTGCTCCAAGTAAGGGACTCACAGGGAGTAAGGAAACCCCTGCCTCTGACAGTGGCACAAAGGGCTATATTATGAGAAATCATTGTTCAGTCTCTACCATGTCAGCCTGCAACTTTCAGGGTCACTCCACACAGCATTCTCCCTTTCCCTAACAATGCATTATTTAGCTGGCCTTTTCTCCAACGCCTCTACTTTGAGCCTCAATCAGCTGTTGCAGTGTTTGTATATTAAATAATCTAATGGAAAGAGCATTAATTAGTCAGGAGTCATGGATTTAATCTGTAGCTTTACAGTAAGGTGGTATGTGGCCCTGGGCAAAGGGTTTACTTTCTCTGAATCTAGTTCCTTCATCTACAACACTGGGGTCGGGGAGTAGGGGGCTGGATTTGATTATTACTCTACTCTAAAATTCCATCTCCTAAACTACCACTTAGTAGTATAGTAAGTAGAAAATGGTATTTAAAGTACTATTGTAAGATAGCATTTTCCCTACAGTTGTACCTTAATTATTTTGGTTAAACTTCAAGGAATGCCACCATTAATAGTCTTGAGGGTTCACCCTATCTTTGCTTTTCATGACTGGATTATAACTTAAGCATTTCTCCCCTGCTTTACTGACTGCAGAACTGCTGTCTTTTTTTTTCCTCTTTATAAATTGATTTTTATTTAGAAAGTCTCAAAATGCTCTTGCTTATTTTTGTTACCCATGTGTAGAGAGACCCCAGCTCTGAAGGAAGTACTAGGTACTCAAGACAGGATAATGGTGTTTTCTGTTTATTTTCTCATGATACCCCACAGCCTGGTGGCTTTAGGTGGCCTCAGCACACTGAGTTGGTGCCTGGGGGGCTACCCACAATGTCTCCCAAGATGCCTCTTCTGTGTTACAAAAAGGAGTTCAGAGTCAATGATCTTGTAAGTACATTTAAAAGTTTTTCCCCCAAATACTTTGCTCTTTGCCACACTACTTGTCTCTCACTTTCACACACTCACAGAGCTCTGAGAGATCTTTTGGCTGTTCAACACCTGGAAGAAGAAACATCTGCAGAATTAGAGGTTGCACTGTGTATTTCCACTTCCATGTCAGTTTTTATAAAGAGTGAAAACAAAATGAAACAAAACAATCAACTCTGATACTCATTCTCATCCTTGGGAGGCGGGTAGCATTGCGGGGGGATGGTGACTGAGGAACAAGGCGAAGAGCCTGGGAAAAGAGAGCATTTTGTTTTATCGTGAATTTTAGTAGCAGGTTATACAGGAATTGTTAGCAAAGTCATGATGAGAGTCAAGTCTTTTTGTTACTTTCCCCATTTTTATCACATTGGAGCAATTCATGCCCATGAATTATGGGGAGTCGTCTGAGAGCAGTGATGTCTAAACTGAAGGGATTTGGCCAAGTGGAGGGCTGTCCTGGCTGAAGGGGTGGCATGTGCTCGACGAAGCATGTAAATGCAGGACCTTCCAGCCCCTCTGCCCCCAGTTCAGGGTGGGAGGAGCTTGGAGCACCGGCCAGAGAAGGAGCTGCCGCTCACGATTGGCCTAGGATGCTCTGCTAAGGAGTTTAAACATTCCCTCAACTGCAATACGCAGCCATAGTGGGATCTTTAAAGTAGGGGACTATTGTAATAGTATTTTCATAGTTACTTTAGGAAAGTCACTTGGAATTTTCTAAGGCCAAAGCCCAGGGACATGAGATACTTAGAAACTCTTGGAGTAGATCAAGCAGGGGACGGTGGCTTCAACTAAGAAGGTAGCCTTCCAAATGGAGGGACGTGGGTAGAACAGAGACATGAATTAGAGTCGGAGTATGCAGGACTTGATCATTTGTTGGTTCTAAGGAGTTAGAAAAGGGGGGAATCAATGAAACCCAGGTCTCAGGGCCAGGCAACCGAGCTACAGAGCACCCCAGGGAGGCTTAAACGACAGTGAATGGAGTCGTGGTTCTCGTGGGCGCCTTACAGCAGCACCAAGTTCCCAAGTCCTGGCGGGCTCAGGATGATGAGGGCCTGTTCTGAGAATGAGGTGTGTCTTCTGTGCCCACATGCCTTTAGGTAGAGTTGCTGGGTGCTACCACTCAGCCAGAGTCCCTGGCCTGTAATCCCTCCTATTAGGCTTTCTCCTCATTGTTGCTAAAGACCATCAGTGTCCTCATTTCCCATGGAAGGAGGTAGTGTTGCACAACTTTTGCTACAGCTGTCACTTTTCTACCTTCAGAACCTGTCTTGTTGTGATGGTTGGTTTTTAATGCCAAAGCAGAGACTCTAAGAAGACATCCAGGCAGGGTGTCCTGTAAAGCACTTGGCTTTGGAGCCAGAGACTAACTGGGCAAGGCAGCCTTCATTTCCTCCTCTGTAAAGTAAGGAGAGTAGCACCCACTCCAAGGACCTGTTGGCAGAATCACAATGAGGTAAGGCATTTACAGCGCCTAGTAGATGGCAGATGCCCCCCACCCATGGCCGCGCACAGCGTGAGCACTGCCTGCTAACACTGATGAAGGAAGCTCTGTTCTGCCTTCCTTTACCATCTTGCTAATAACTGGGTGGATTTTGGTGCCTTTTTTTTTTTTAATTTCTTAGACAATGGAGAGAGAGGAAAAAAAGAGGAAAGAGAAGGGGTCCGAAATTAAATTAGGAAATGAATTTAGGAACTTTTCTAAGTGAGTGAAAGTTCTGCCTGAAAGAATTCCTTCAAGTGTCTGCCATCAGTTATTCCTCAACTACAAATGTTAGCCTGTGGCTTGTGACAGTTAAGACTAAGAATATTTGAATGAAGCTGGAATACAGGGCTAGTGAGCGAGACAGTAGCTTCCTTCCTGTCATAGACTGGCTTTGCCCCACCAGTCTTTGTCCTTGAATCTTCCAGTTCTAAGTCATGATGCGATTGGCATCTCACTTTAGAAAAATGCAGGTCTTCTGCCTTAAGTCCTCCCTGAATCTTTCAGCTTTTGGAGATATGCATGTAAATTTTTTGTTATTACTCTTTCTGGATATAGATTGCATCTAACCCTTGCAGTTCAGGCTCACCAACTCCCTCAGGCCACCGTTCTTAGATGTTGGATAGATTCAGGAACATTTTTGGGTGGAACACTCTGTAGACCTTCTGCCCTCCCCCTTCTCCTTGCTGGCATTCTTTTCTTCTTTTGTTCTAGAAGTACATCTTCTAATCTCACTTGTATTCTTTCGCTCCATCAAAAAATATTTTTGAAAAAGACACAAAGTTCAGCTTTAGTCATAGAAGAATTTATATCCACATAAAAATGTTGAGTCTTCTATTTGTCATATATATATGTATATATGCCATATAATATAGCTTTTGAAGACAGCTTGTCCCCATATAATACTTGGGTCAGGAGATAGTTTCTACCTGCAAGAAGTTTACATTCCTTTAGGTAAGGTAAAAAAAAAAGTACAAGAGAAAAAAAATTCAAGAGACTAATACACACTTCTCTTAACAGGCAAGAAACCATAGAGACAGCCTCACAAAAATCCATTCTGCTTGATGAGTTTATTCGTTTCCTTCCTTACTGTTTTTCCCTGAAGTGTTAAATAAATGCCTTTTGATGTCTGCGCTTGGGAAAAGCTTGTTCCCTAAAGCCACTTGGCAGGTGTAAATCCCAGGAACTGGTGACTTAAGCACTGTGTTTGGGAAGCAGGAGCCATTGCTGAGTGAAGTGGGGAGGGAAGATGAGAGGGAGACAGGAGGAGGAGGTAAGTGCAGCACTAGGAGCCAGAGCCGAGGGTGGGGGTGACCAGAATACAGGGGAGTCAGGCCTTCCTGGGGCCCTAAGGGCTGGCCGTGCTCCGCTCCCATCCTTCCACCACTGCCAGCTTCACCGGGGAAATCCATGGCACCCACACTACTCCCATTCAGTCTGGAGTCATACCGTGCAAATCTAAACTGGTTTATCCAAACCTAAAACCTAGATTGAATTTGTCCCAGTCAATTTTCTACACAGGAAGGATGATAACATTTTTGGGGAGCATATGTGCTTCTGTGGTATCTGGTAATTATATATAGGAAAAAAAGTTTCTTTAACTTCAGAAAGTATCTTTGTTTCCACACAAATGCAACCATTTAGAAACCTGGTGTTACTGTTTTGACTTTAAAGATTTTTAATAAGATACACGAATTAAAATACATATTTACAAGCTTATGAATTATAGCACCACCTCACACAGTAAAAAGCAAAAAAGAAAATCTGTTCAAACAGCAGGCATTAAAAACATTGCCCGAAATAATCAGGATAGGGGCCAACCTAAACAGAATTGAACCACATGAAGTTGCCAATATCAACTGATTCTGACCAACAAAAATGACAACATGACAATACGTTTTGCTTCATGTCCCTAAAGTCTGCATATTAGAATGTAGTTAACTAAAAAGGGAAAGGAATTCTAGGCATGTTTATTAAGACTGAGTATCAAGAATGTGGTAGGTGTGGACAGAAAATGGAGCATCACCTTTACATTGAGCCAACATTTATGGAGTGTCTGTGATGAGCCGAGAGTGCTGGAGAAACAAGGTGAGCAAGACAACATGATGTACAATATATTTATGTAGGTTATAAAAGATAGAATAATACATCGCTGTTACATGTATAGCCCTATGAAAGCCATTGGAAAGACACGACAAAAGTGACAGACGTCCAAAATGGAAGAAAGCTCATCAAGAGAATGATAAAATGTTGTGAAAGTTTTAAAGGACAGGCCGGATTTTAGCAGCAGAGGTAGGGGGAAGGACGCTGAGCAACAGAAACGGTGACCAGAAGCTCGAAGGTAGGAAAGTACAAGGTCCAGATTGATAGGAATTGAGGTGAGTAGTGGGAGGGAAAGCAGAGAAATGTTGCCTCGCTAGGGAGGGCCCTGAAGGCCAGGTAAGGACTTTGTAGGTAACTTAGAAGAAAATGCTGTAATTAAATGGAAGGTTGTTAAGCAGTGGAATATTATGCATTAGGAAGATATTAATAATACCAGTTTTAAAATCATCTAAAATAGCCAACATCTGTTGATCATTTACAATGTTCTAAGCAATTTACATAGTAGGCTCAGCTCTGTGTATATGAGCTAATTTAAACTCACAACCCCCCTTTGAAAGAGATATTGTCTATTTTAACAAAGTCACTGAGGCTCAGAGAGGTTGATTCCCTTTGCCCAGGTGACACAGCTAGTCAGTGCCAGGGCCAGGATTTTAACCCATGGGTTCCAAAGCCTCCATTCTAAACCATAAAATAATAAATGCCAGAATTAGAGTTGGGGACAATAGAAATGAAGGTGGGGGGAGGAAATGATGCAAAAACATCGTGACATAGATGCTATAG